ACTCACAAGTAAAATAACCCCCTTTTTATAACAGGGCAGTAACAATCTTTTATTCACATGAATACATAAAAAAAAAATCAAATGTAATTAGTCCCAACAAACCTGGGTCTGGCAAAGGAATCCAAATTGTTTGCTATATATTCGAAACAAAGGGTTGGCTGTGACAACTGGCCATTCTGAAACTCCCACTGTTTATTTCCCAGCCAGGGAGGGGCTGGCTAACATCTATGTCTGCCTTTCCCTGAGAGCCAGCTTATTGTTTTCCTTTGCTGCCATGAGGTCCCTATTTGACCTAGGTCCCCTACGTGATTTTTCAAGTTAGCACTTATAACTGGGGGTCTCCCAAACATCATTTCAAAAGGAGATAATCTAATTCCCTTTTGTGGAGTGCATGGACAGACCAAAGTGCCAGCAGCAATGCATTTACCCATTCAAGGTGAGTTTCAAGACACACTTTGTCCTTGAGTAAGATTCTAGTCACTTCAAATCTACAGTTGCTTGGAGTTCCTCTGCTTTAGAATATTTGGGGCTCAGTCCCCTTTGCATTTCCAATGCTGCATAAGCTGTCATGTCAGGGTGGCTCTGATCATCTTGGGTTGCTGACAGCTTTGCTTCTCTGTCAGCTGCTCTTCCATTTTCTGCTGGATCCAACCATCCAGCTTGGAGATTGTGCAGATCCCCCATATGAGATCTTTAATTCCCCCGGGCAAGCACACTAGTTGCTCTTTGTTTCTAATACTCCATGAATTGCATGACTAGTAAATATAGTAATTGGCTGCCCACAAGTCAATTTATTAGCTTCCCCAGTTGCGGCCAGGATTTTAAGGCAATGTCCGCTGCATCCAAAAACGGCGCTGGATGAGGTCGGGCTGTTGGTTTGTTTGCCGCTGCCGTGGCCTCCTTAGGCACGCCCCCCTCCCTCTGCTCCCTCGGTTTGCGATACGCAGCGTTCCTGGCGTCTCCTGACATCTTCTGTTCTCGCCTTTGTAACCTTCGGACTGCATTGGACTGCATTGGACTGTTCCAGAGAGGGGGTGATTGGCCTGGCATGGCGCTGGAGGAGATCAGGCAGCTGGCTTTGCTGCCGCCGCCGCAGCCTTTCGGGCGCCCCCCCCCTCCGTTCTACTGACTCGGCCTTCCGTACGGTGCGGCCTCTCCTCTGTTTGCCCTCACAGCTACAGGGCCTTCTTTCCTGTCATCTGGCTCCCTCTGCTCAGGGCTGCTGGACTTTTGGACTTACAACCTGGTCTCAGTTGGTGTGACCATTGCCGCCCGTCAATGCCCAGGGATGCCTCTTCGGCCCCTCCAGAATTTTTGGACCCCTTGTTTGCTGCACTATCTTTTTGCACAGGAAAGAGGGAAGACGAACTATTCTCCCTCCATATCACCGCTAATCTCCATCTATNAGGTGTATCAGGGTACATGTTCCAGTCCAGTTGGAAGGTAAGCATAGATATGCATTTTTCCCACATAAGGAGACTCCATTTTCTCCTACACACACAGCTATGTTCATGGAGAAGGCATGGGCTTGGAGGTTCCTTTCATTAGTCCATACCTGTAAAGTATGCCCTTAGAGAGAGGTTGCCTTCCTTCCTTTTAGGTAGTTTGGAAGCACATTGGTTTAAAATAAAGACAGTTCCTTTTTCAGAAAGGAACACTTTTGTCCTTTATTTTGGTCATGTAACTTTTATCAATACAAATTGTATCAATCATTTTCACTCAGGTGTAAAATATGGAAATTGAATGTTTTATTTTAGTTATTTTTCTAGATTGCGTTTTTGTAAAGTTTTTCTTGGTTTTGCTCTTGAATTTTCTCTTGTTAAAGTTATAATTTATTTTATCCTTATGAATCTCTTGAAGATTTGCCCTTTTCATATTTGTCCTTTATTTTTTTCCAATAAAATATCGTCACCGCACTTAGAAATCAAGCTCCTGGAAGAAAGGCGGGAAGCGTGGGAGGGACTCATGAAAATCATGGGAGTTCATTTGGGCTAAGGAGACCTCTCCGACACATATATAGACCGTCCACGCGTAGTGACCAAGTGGTGGGGAGGGTATTCAACGCCGCTGAAGAGTATGGGGCAACGCCCCAAAAATTTGCTTCTCATTAATGATAATTTTTGCATTTTTTTTGTAAGTATGCATGTATCTATATATTTCCATGGAGGCCCAAACAAAACGCCTTTTCCGCCCTCGAGGCCCCACCCGAGTCTTCGTCTCGCGATATCATGACGTGCCGGTTTTCGTCTCGCGGTTTCCTTTCTTCCTGCGCCTGCGCAATCTCTCCTTCAACTTCCCCTCATTTACTATGGCCGCTGGACTGAGTGGGATGTTTGGGAACCAGGCCCCGGTGCCTCCCCCGCCACCTCCTCCGGTGGCCCCCGGAGGTCAGGGGCTCGCGGGACTCCTTCCTCCGAACCCCACGGGTCCGCGAAACCCCATCGGTACCCTTGTGGATGATTTGGAGGCTTCTTTTGAGGTAAGTTCTGCAATGCGAGCGGCCTCTCCTACCACAGAGATGACGGAAAGACCGTCGCTTGAAGTGGGGAAATGCAGGATTATTGCCGTCCTCTGGGACGAGGGAGGTTACTATAGAGATGAAGTAGCTCGCCAGGGTGTCCCTTCATCTGGATTTCCGTTTCTGTGTTACCTGGCAGCCTGCTTGAAAAGCGACGCCCGTTAATCCCATATTAACAAAATACTTTTTCTGATCAGAAGAAGGAAACATTTCATTCTATAACAAGCCAGTGTGGGTTGATAATGGCTGTGATCTCGCTTGTCTTGTGGAATTTTGTGGATTACCTTGGGTCCCATCACTTTCAGCTCACCTCGGGGTGGGGTTGTTATGGGGGGCGGTTGCTATGGGGTTAAAAAGATCCCCCTGGATATTCTGAACTCGTTATCGCAAGAAAGGGAAAAAATAATTTATTTGCTAAATTGAACCATATTTATTTTCCAGAAACATATGTGTAGAATAAAAATAATGCTTTATAAGATGGTATGTGAAATGTCTATATTTTGTAAGGATTTGCACTTTTGTTAAAAAAAAGTGTCTTTAAAAATAGTTTGTTAGTTAAAAATTAGTCAGCTTGTAATTCTTGTAAGAAAATAGTTTGTCTACATTGCAAATTGTATTGAACAAGACACTGCAAAGAGTTAGTTTTGCAGATCTTCTAATTTTATCTTCAGCTTCATATATTTATCCCATCCAGACAGATGAGTTCTTTTGTTTGGAACCTACTGAATATTCTATGCCATTTTTAATAGAGCAAAGAATTGGAAATAAATATTGCACAAGTATATTTTTAAAGAAAGTAAAAATATACTTTAGAATAGCTTTATGGGTGCCAAAATCTAAAGCTCTTAACATTAACTGTTTTTGTAATAAATGGTTTTTGTAATTATCTAGGCTTGCTTTGCGTCCCTTGTAAGCCAAGATTATGTAAATGGTACAGATCAAGAAGAAATTAGAACTGGTAAGTTTGGGTGTCCATCTTCAGTTTAATTTAGAACATTTATACGCAGAATGCTCATATCTTTTTCTCTTTCTCTGTTTTGATCATGCTGGAGTTGAACTTTACCCACCTTTATGAAACTATGCTGATAAATATTGGTGAAGGCTTAACAACCAATTGTGACCAATTAAACCAGCAATGTGCAGTAGCAGCCCAAAGAGTTAATACAATCCTTGGTTGTATAAACAGAGGCATAGAATCAAAATCATGTGAAGTATTAGTACCACTTTATAAACCCTTAGTAAAGCAACACCTGGAATACTGCATCCTGTTTTGGTCATCACATTGCAAAAAAGATGTTGAGACTTTGGAAAAAGTGCAAAGAACACTGACACTAAGATGATTAATGGCCTGCAGTCAAAAACAAATGAATGGTTGCAAGAGCTGTGATGGCACTGTTAGATTGCAGTATTGCAGACTAATTCTGCTGATTGCCAGCAGTTTGGCAGTTTGATTCTCACTGGCTCAAGGTTGACTTGGCCTTCCATCCTTCTGAGGTCATGTATACATCTGAACTAAACTGTTGTTTCTCTGTGTCATATATATGGGTATATACATAATTTTTATTTATTTATTTTGTCATATTTATGTAGTATATATTGGGGTAGTGACTCTTTGAGAGCTGCATGCAATGAAATTTCATTTTAATGTATGCCGCTTAGTGTACTTTCAAAGTTGACAAGTTATTATTCTATTCTGTATTCTACTGTATTTTGTCTTCTATTCTCTCTTTTCTTCTCCTATTCTGTTCTATTCCGTTCTCTCCTATTTTATTCTCTCCTATTCTCAGTGCAAAAAGCGTTTTCAGTGCCTGTCTCCTGCTTCTTCTCATCCCCGCCCAACTCTTTTCTGCCACCACCAGGACACTTTTCACCCAGATGGAGACTGGAAGCTTCATCTGAATGCAAATGGAGTCTTTGAAAACAGAGGGATTTACTCAGTTTTGAAATGGGTGTCTATGGAGATTTTCAGTTATCCCAGTCTTGATTGTCCTAAAGGTGATTTTTCAAGAGGCAACTGGACTTTCTTGTTTTTCTTTGAAGAGCTTTCGCTTCTCATCCTTTGGGACAACTATGACCTGGATGACCGAGAATATCCATAGAAATTTAGCTATTCACTTTGGGATGAACACCTTTAGAATGGTGTAGAGTGTGAACAGATTTCCAGAAAAATTACAGACTACAGGGACCATTTCCACTTCAGTTTCAGATGCAAACAACACAGACTCATCCCCAACAGCCTGTGCTCAACAGTGAAGGGACACAGGGCAGAAAACATCTTGCAGAAAGCACAGTTCCACAACACTATCCTTTCAGCAGTTCCAAGAGGCTTCACAACCAATTGCATTTCTCAGGTGATGTAAGGCAAATGACCAGCTGTCTGCAAGGAATATAAATCCTTCTATTCCACATCATCTAGTCAGAGCTGAAGAAGTTTCTTGGATGAGAAGCTAGGTGTCTGTTGTAGTTATGGGTAGTAGAACTATATCATCACTGGAGTGGGTAGAAATGAAATTTTGTAGCTCATTTTATGAGAGTTTAAGTGGTAAAATACACATTCTAGGCAGTTTTAGAGAGTGTCATAAACATAGAACATAGGATCACAGAGCATCTAATCCAACCCCTTGCTGAAGGCAGGAGACCTTATACCATCCCAGTCGAACATAAAAGCTCAGGGCTACACAGCATTTCCCCTCCCTTAAGCCCCAATTTAAAACCTGAAATCATAACCAGGTAGTCCTCGCTTAGTTATTCTAATTAGGACTAGAATTTCTGTCATAAAATAATGTCATGCAGTAATTAGATGAAACAGTACATGAGCACACTTTGCAACTGCTATTCCACTAGTTCCAGTTGCAGTCTTTAAGCCAGAACCTCATTCTGCCTTGCCACTTTCGCCTCCATTTCAACTCCCTTTGCCCGTCTCCTCCCCTGTCTCTGCTGTTTTGCTCCCCTGCCCTCTCCACCCCTGCTGACCTTTGCCATCTTCTGTTGCTGATGAGACAGCTGGTGGTCTTTTGTTTTATATCATTTTACGCATATAGACCCAAGTATTTTACACTTCTCTTAACTAGGCTTGTTAAAGTTACATAGTATTTATCTTGACTTTAATTTTTAATAGTGTTAAACTTGTTGCTCATTTCCTAGGTGTTGATCAATGTATCCAGAAATTTTTAGATGTTGCACGACAAACAGAATGCTTTTTTCTACAGAAAAGGCTACAATTATCTGTCCAGAAACCAGACCAAGTGATTAAGGAGGTAAGGATATGGTTTCGTTAGACTTAAGCATGATATCTGATTCTATGCTAAATTAGAACACAGTAATTGTAATATAGTAATTGGAATATTGCTATGAGACATGTGGGATTAAAAGCATTTATTACATAAATTAGGGATGACTCTCTTCCGATCAGAATATTTTAATGGTGAAGTTCTTCTTGGTGAAGAACTGATTGATCATTGTAGTAAGATGATGGTTTGCTATGTCTAATCCAGAGCTCTGCAACCTTAAACACTCAAAAGAACCATTTGGACCAGTTTCCCACAGAAGACACCGGGAGCCAACCAAACCTGGGTGGGCATGGCTAACATGACATCACTCACTCCCACCCAGTCACAAGGCCCCCCTACCCAGGTTATGTGGCTCCAGGTGTTTTCTTTTCGGTGGGAAACAGGAATCTCTCTCTGTCTCTCTCTCTTTCTATCTGTCTCTCTCTCATTCTCGTGTGTGTGTGTGTGTGTGTGTGTGTGTGTGTGTTCCTCCTTGAATCATTTCCAAAAATAGGTGAAGGTTGGTAGTGGTTGGTTTTTTTTTTGCAGATGTTTACCGTATGATTTAAATCAAGAGTCATTTCAGTTTCCCAGATAAATGAAGCTCTTTAGTCTCCCTGCTGTGGCTCCCTATTGGCTGAATCCACCCAACACTGGCTAGCCCCACCCCTCACCCTCCTCTCCCAGTCACTCCTTGCCTGGCCTGTGAAGGTAAGGGTGATGGCAGGGGGATGGAGACTTGCTCCATATTCAGAGTGGAAGCAAAGCACCTCTGTACTTGCTTTATCTTGTGAGCACTTCTTCCAGCCTTTGTTGGTGCTACGTGCACCTTGGTCGCTCGGGGAGGC